TGGTGCTAACGGAAGGAGGGCGGGGCGCGGGGAGGGCGAGCGACACGCTTTTAGATAGATTTTTACCCAGAATGCAAATGGAAAAAACCGTGAGTGAAACGGTGACTGGGACTGACTAGTATATATTCCATTGAGGGAAAGTTAGTTTCACATCTGCTCAAGAACCCGCCTGGTGGTTGAAGAAAAATCCACATATAAACCGGAAAATACAATATATGAAAAAAAACACTGAATGCTCTCTGGTATGAGGAGGCGGGCCAGATCCGGCATTGTTCAGGGGGCCGGACCAAATGACGTGGCGGGCCGGATCCGGCCCGCGGGCCGTAGTTTGGGGACCCCTAGGTTAGATAGTCAAAGATAAAGATTGTCTAACAGACATTCCCAGATACGACAGTAGTGATATGAGGAAAGTACAACCTCTTCTAGGGTTTACTAACCTGGTAAAAAACATACCCATATTCTACACTTTGCTTCATCTAGATGGTCTGGACTCTGCTATTGAGAAACAATTGCTTCCCAGAGGCAGTGAAGTAAAACTTTTGGATTGTGAGGAAAGTGAGTTTTGTTTTCAGCTCCACTCCCCAGTCCGGCTCCCGTCCAAGAGGAAATCAAAATATGAACAAAGAAAACAAAGCGGAATGTTAATGATAATCACTTCCTCTCTGCTGCCTTTCATCTTCAGCCAGGAAACGCTGAATTTGATATGAACATATATACAATCATTTTGTCTGTGCCCTGAGCGCTGGCTCAGCCCGTCTTACCCCTCGTGTTTCTCTCCCGTCAGCCATTTCTCCAGCCACTTTCTTCCTCCAGTTGTGAAAATGCCCATAACATCTGTGCAGCCGGTCTTCCAGGGTTCATGGCGTTTATCTTTGTTTTTTCCTATGCAGCGTACGGTCAGACATTTCTCACAGCACATTTTAGTTTGACCATAAAGGTTGCCGTCCTTTGCTTTAACTCAAAAGCTGCTTCATAATGTCCATACATGTAAAGTTGTTTATTATTCTTTGTTCTCTTGTAAATTTACAGTAAATCCATTACTCAAAAATGGCAGAACTTTATGTGGCTTTAAATCTATTCCTATAGGTTGAATGTCAACTGGGTTCAAAACAAACAAAAAGTTGTAGTTTTGATGTTTTTTTCCATTATATAGACTTTTTTAATCCTATCTCACCACTGTGTAATACTGGGAGGTTCTGGCCTTAACCAAGCATACGTTATACAGTTTTTCGCAATCAGAAGCAGAACTCTGATCAAGTATTTGTCTTTGTTGATCATGTCCGAGGGACATGCATGCAGGTCACTTTGGGGATGTAAACTGCTCACACTGAAGTCTGATTGCTGTCACATCTATCAGTAGTTTGAACAATCATGCAAACAAAATTCCAGGAAAAAAATCTGAATTTAGCAACAAGATCTGCTGTGTGTACGTAGCCAATGTCATTGATATTGACCTCCTGTGTCCTCCGTGTTTCACACCAGATCACTTGGGTCTGTGTCCAGATGCTGGCCACACCCTGCTTGTTCTTGCTGTTTTTGGCCTTCACCCTTCCTCAGTGTGAGATTTTGCTGCACCTTCCCTCTTGTACCACCAACACTGAGCACACAGGTCCCTCCCATTGTGCAGAATGTCAACAGGCAACCTAAGCCATGTATCACTTGCTGTACACAGAACAGTTGCATGTATTGACCTGCTATTCTTGATTGCACACTTGTCTTTAAACAGCACAGGCATTGTTAAGGCTACCTCACTTTGGAAGCTCTTCACATAACAACAAATCAGAAACACAAAAACAGCAGTGAGGGAACAGTAGAGGTGGGGGTGTTTGAGTTTTGTTTTGTTTCTGTGGTTATTCTGATGGAAACTCAGAGAAGTAACACTCCAGTGAAGAAGGCAGGGATCACCATACTGACAATGCCTCATCACCTGGATGAGACTGAACGAGATGTTATCAGAATTTACCTAATCATTTGGTCTGGATAGGAATAAGAGCAGAAAGGAATTTTCACACAGTACATCAACTTCCAAAGACCATCACGAGAGCCAGGTGATTTCACAGTGATTCATATCTGAATTGAAACTCTCCGGCTGCAGAGAAACATGAAAGTAAAACTTGTTTCTGCCACTTTGCGTTTACCCCCGAAATTTCTCCCCAAAAAAAGCTAAATATTGGATGGATTTTAACTGCAAAACAAAAAAGATAAAAACTAGAACATTTTATGTTCACTAATATTCCAAGTGTTTGCTCAATACTTTGTGTAAGCAGCTTAACCAATCCCAACCTCATCTCACCAAGCTTGGCTCACATGTTTTCAGGGTCAGGTTGGTAGAACTGTGATTGTAGATAGTTTTAGATCTTACTGGAGATGTTGAGTTGGATTTAACTCTGGGATTTGGCTGGACCAGCTGTGTGCTTCAGATCTCTGCTGAATATTAGAGCTATTCATCATTTGTCATGATGAATCGTCACCTCAGGTCCCTTTCTAGAGTAGATAGGATGTCATCAAGAACCACTCCGTATCTGAGTCATACTCGCTATTCAGAATACTCACCGAGTTTCTTCTGCAGAAAGACATCCCTACACCATTCCCACCTTCTCACATCTTTTAAATGAGTGTAAATGGTGTGGAAGGTCCTGCATGTGTATACAGGTGTACATGCTATACACAGAGCTAAAAAATATTTATTCATTGACCATCAAAAGCCAAGCAGGAAGCTTTAAGAGTGTTTATGGAAATACCTGACCAGTATTTCAGAAGTGCATTTGTGAGGTCAGACACTGATGTGGGACCGGAAGACCTGGATTTAGTTTCTGCTCTTATTCATCCCAAAGGTATTCTATTGGTCTGAGGTCAGGAGTCTGGTCAGGCCAGTCAGATTTTTTCCCCACCAAACTCCTAGGTTTAATTGTCTGGAGCTTTAATGGAGCTCTGATTGGTGCAGTCATGTTGGAACAGGAAGGAGTCATCCCCTAAGTGTTCCCTGGACCAAATCCAGACTGATGTCTCTACTGCTTTACTGGCTGCATATTTTACACAACTCCATCTCATGTTTTGTGTTGCACTTCATGATTTCAGGTTTTCATGAATCTGCTCAGCCATAGAAATCTGTTCTATGAAGTTCTTGACCTAATCTAAAGGGTATAAGAAGTTTGTGTGTTTGCAACCACAGACTCTGAAGAAAATTGTTAACCTCTGCTCACTTTGATCTGCAGCATCTGCTGACCCAGCTCTGTGGGTCTACCACTTCATGGTGGAGTATCTGTCATGTCCAATCATTTCTACAGTACTTTGTCACAATACCACCAACAATTGAACGTGCAATATATTAAGTCAAGAAATTACAAGTGTCACAAGTGACCATTCTGGAATTCATTGATCTCTTGAGTGCTACCTGTTCTTCTACAAACTTTTTAGAAGCTTTCTGCATGTCTGGCTGCTGCATTTTCTACACCTGTGGGTGTGGAGGTGATTGGAAGAACTGAATTCAATGATTCGTAGGGGTAGGTGACCACTTTTACCAACAAACTGTATCTTAAGGACACGTTGACAGGTTCAGCATGCGCTAACATGAATAGCAATCCGTAGTTACGAATCAGTTTAAACTCTGATGACTCTTTAAAAAGAAAAAAAGAGTCTGTGCTGAAGTTCTTTAGTTGTTTGGGAAAGAACCCAGCAGAGGCCCTGATGGACTTCATTAACTTTATCTCTGCATCTGTGCAGAGCACTACAGAGCAGAGATTTATTCCCTCACACGTCTTTTTTTCTGCTGATAAGTCCAGTTTAGATCCCTGTTAGGAGGCAAGGGAGCAGCTGTCAGAGTGGGTGGAGGGCAGGGAGGTGGAGGAACAGAACCCTCAGGATTTTACATTTGTTCTTGGTACCACTGAATAACATCATGTTTATTTAATGCAGCTGATGACTAATTACTCTGTACCTCTGTTTATTTTCTCTCCCCCTCAGCGTCGCTAGCTGCGGCTGGTTCACAAGTTCACTACTGTCAGCACACACTCACACACTCATGTCTCTTTTTTGGCTCTTGCTGCAAGGACTTTTATCTTACAGTGACCCAGTCATCATGAGAGCTCACAGGAGAAAGTCGTGGCATGCGCTCTCCTTTGCATGTGTGTGTTTCTCCTCTCAAGTCAGTAAACCTTCAAAGTAATGAGCAGCAGTCAGCAGCTATGAGTTGGAGGATGTCAGTCCTGTGAGTGAAGAGGAACAGAGTGCCACGCTCTGTATGATGTTTGTTTCTTTGATCAGTTGAACTAATTAGGTGTGTTTTATGTGTGAGGTTGGGCTACGTGGACCACGCTGAGGAGTTGGCCTCCAGGTTCCTCCAGTGCTTCCCAAAGAACCGGCTGTCAGCGCAGGCGGCCCTCAACCATGAATACTTCAGCAACCTTCCTCCACGGCTCTGGGAGCTGCAGGACAGTATGTAACTCCTAATGTCTCACCACTTTTACACACTGTTACACTTCAGCTGTAAAGCACTGCACTGCACAAGAAGCACAGAGTAGAAGAGTGTAGTTGAAGACAAAGGTTTATTTAGGTACTTCAGGATTTTAACAGTCAGTTTCATAATCTCAATATTAAGTTTTATTGAGGTACAGTAAGAAAAATCAATGGAAACAAGTAATCAGTGAAATATAAAATTACATGTATTGTTAATCATACTATTGACAATGTACTAATGACTGAGTTAAAGAAGAACTTAGAAATCTAATGACCAGCAAACATGGATTCTGGTTCTCACCAGGATTTTACCACTTTCGTCTAGTGTCAGTATTTAAAATCGGTCTGTTGTGTCACTCATAGAAACAACTGGACTTTGGTTCTGGGGTGCTTCTTGGTAGGGAAAACAAACAGCTGGTGTTCTAAACCAGGACGCCACACAGACTGTCAGTTCTGGTCTGGTGGTTCCTCATGTTCCTCAGATTTGGTCAAAGAGGTTTTGACTTAAAGAAAGTTGGAGACAGGTTGAAGGTAAAAAAAAAAAAGGTATCTTGCACAAAAGTGCACACAAATGTGCAATTGAAACCATTTATCTCCACAAAGTGATCAGTCCTGCCAGACCCAGTGGGACTGAACTTCTTTATGGGTTTTCTGGTTCCTTTTCACCAAATCTTCCTGGATTGAGGAAGATTTGGCAGCATGTTCAGGAGAGGAATCATCGAGAGACGCTGACCTGCTGAATATTGATTTTTAAAACTACTTTCTATAAACCAGAGAAAAACCGAGTTACTACAGACAGTTCAAATGTGTTTCATGACTCTTTAAAGAGAAACATTTGATAGCATTCATTCACACTGCTACAGTTACTATTTCAGTACTGCACATTTGAAAACAGAATTTTTTTGTGACAGTTTGCTCAGTGAACATTGCCATGTTTATGCCTTTTAATTCAAAACATCACATGCAGTGATGAATTGTGGGTACTGCACTTCACCAAAGTCCACCTTGATTCTGTCTTAGCCCTCCCTTCTTTCAATGTTCTACATGTAAACAGGGCTGATTGACTGAACTCCATCCATTCATCATCATACATCATTATGCCATTGTGGCCATGAGGGAAAACAGAGACAGACAGGACAAACAATCATACACACACCTGTGGTGAATTTAGAGAGACTAATCAACCTGACAGTCATGTTTGTGGGAGGAAGACGGAGTACCTGGAGAGAATTCACACATGCACAAGGAGAACATGCAAACTCCATGTAGAAAGAATCAAACCCAGGACCTTCTTACAGCAAGACAACACTGCTACCAACTTCACCACTGTGCAGCCCTGACTGAACTCATAAACTAAAAAAAGAAAAACACAGCTAGAAAGCTACACAGATTATGAATTTGGTCCAACTGACTGAAATCTTAGAGCTGAGTAACCACCTGGTGGATCATTTTGTTTGGCGTTTAGTATTTCTGTCTGAGCGTCATTTTTGGCTCCAGGGTTAGCAGGTAAAGAGACTGACAGTCACACAATTGCTCTCTATCTGTTCCTTTTTTCTTTCTCTCCGCTGCTTTGTGCTTTGGTACAGTCCTTTCCTTTTGTGTTGAGTCTTCACTCTGTACTGGTCTGTCTGTCTGTGAGGAAGACAGCCAGGAGCAACCTGGGCTTGTTTTTTGATCATGCACAGAAAGCCGGTCTTATCATGCGGATGCCGTTGGGACAGTAAGCCCAGCCGGTCCTCTGCTGGCTCCTCCAAGTGTTCTCGGTTTGATTTTCTGTCTTCTTGACTGGTTGTTTGCCCAGAGAAAAGTACACTGAGGCTCTTTTTAAATAAGCCAGGGCTCTGAAATTTCAGAAACACACAGCTTTTAGCTTTTACCACTCGTAGCTTTCAGCATGCCTGGGGTTTGGAGGCACATTTCCCTTGTGCATTCTGAATCTCAGAGTTAGAGGCTTTAGCCACGGCTTCATATTCAGGTTTTATTTCAATTAATCCTTCAGAATTGGGTTGTTGCATCAAAGTATGTCAGACATGACTACCTATCCATATTCTTTGACACGCTGCGCACACACATTAGCAATCCCTTAAGCTGTTATTCATTAGCTCAGTGAAAAGCCAGCTCAACAGACCTGAGTGTGCCACCACTGACAGGGTGGTAATTTTAATTGGAGAATTCCATTTTTAATTCCCCCCGATTAGGATTTTTCTGCATTATTAATCCTGTTATCAGCTCCCAGCAGGCTGTCATGTTGAAAAAGAAGCAGAAAACAGCGGTCACTGACAGAGAGGCAGGAAGGAGATGGCTCATTTAGATTTTTGTCATGCTCACTCGCTCCTGTTTTCCCCGCTCTGCCTTCATCTCACTGTGTTCTCTTCAGGCAGAGCAGCAGAGCAGAATGAGGAATAAAACCGTTCCCACAACCAGGACGAGAACGGATCAAACCAAAGTACCTCGTGCCTGTGTTTTCCCTCTGCCTCTTTGTGGGGATGGATGTGTTGAATTGTTTCAAACAAACGGCAACGTGAGATTAAAAACTAGTTAATTACTCAAATGGTGAAGTGGCTGCAGCAGTGGGACAGAGGAAAAAGATCTGCTAAAAGCGATTATTTGTAGGTAGTCATTTATTCCACCTGAACACAAAGAAAACATCCAGTTTGATGTTCCAAATGGATTTTAATTCAGAGGAAAGAAACAAAAGCCTAAAATAACAGAAAAAATAACTGATGATTTCTGATCAACTAAGTTGAATTGATCATTTGTCAGTCATAGGTTTTTGTGTTTAAATCTTGGTCGGAGTTTCTATGTAAGAAATAATAGTTATTAAAAAAACAGCATTATTACAACATGTCTATAAGTTTGTTTGTTTTTTTTGTAAATCCTTTTAGCTGATCATGTTGCCTTCTATCCAGTGTTGGGCAATGTTGAAGACGGTTGCTATCTTTAAGGGGTTTCCAAAGTGTGGCCCAAGAGCTACTTGCGGCCCACTGAATGATTGCTGATCACAATGCTGGAATGAATCTGGGACATGAATGCTGGGACATGATGCCAAGTCATGATGTTAGCATCTTGGTGGAGAAGTGAAGAATAATCAGTTGTTTTTCTCTGAACTGCCCAGCAGCCAATAGAAACATCCGAGGTTGTCTGACTGCTTTCATGTGAAGCAGACAGATGAACCGACTTATTGTTTAAAGAAGGCCAATATAAAGTCAAGTAAATGTCTCATGCTCTCCATAAAGAAATAATCTTCTCATTTCTCATCCCTGCTATGTGTTATCATGTAACCCAGAGTGATTATCATAAACAATGCCTGCTTTATTGAAACCATAAACCTCTTTGAGCTCCAAGCTCTGGGGATTGGACTGTGACATTTTCATTTTGATCGGAGTGTGACAGAGTGGGTGTCTGAGAGTGGAGGGGCCGAATGCTAAGCCTGGGATAACAATAGGAAGAGCAGTTTCCTATTGGATGAGGATCAGCTGATGTGGACCGAGAGCAGAACTCCTCCAATCCCTCTGCTCTAAGTTTGTGAAGAACATCAGCTCTTTTCACAGTGAATGATGAGGATCAATTTCTCCCAAATGGAAATTCCAAGCTGAAGTCAGGAAGCAGTGATTAAACAGGTGCAAATAAATGGGTATCTTTGACGTATCAGTGATGCTGTTGTCTATTTGAAGCACTCTCTGCTCTGGAGACAGTAGGAGACCGTCCAGATCACTGTTGGACACCCTGAAGCCTTCCTCTCATCAGCTGAACCTCTCAAACTTAGAGTCTTTTATCATCCAGAAAAACTCTCATTTCAGCTCAATTCAAATTCAGTTCTGGATTTCTATCAGATGGACGTAATCATTAAATGGAGATAGATGAGGAACATTGTTTTGAGTAGAGCTGGTGTTGCTCCAGTCTGTTGTGATTAAAAAGAAAGCTTACTAGGACAGAAACAGAAAATCTCCTTATTTACAAGACTGTCATCAACTACACCCGTGAGACATGGATCATGATCAGAACAACGAATCTTCCTCACTAATAGCTGAAATAAGATGGATGGACCCTGCCTGAGAGAGGCAGAGGAGCTAAACTTCCCAGGGAGTCTTGATAAAGACCTGCTGCTCCTCCACATCAAACGGAATCAAATGAGGGGTTCAGGCACCTCCTGGCCTCTCTGTGGAGGATTTGTGAGCATCTACGTGTGGGAGGAGAGCCTGGAGCCGACCCGGGCCTCACTGGAGGGAATAGATATCTCTTTTGCCCTGGCAACGCCCTGGGATCCCTCACATTTAGTCAGTGTGTTGCTAGGCAGAGTGATGTCTGGGTTTCCTACCTTGGCCTCTTACTACTGAGATCCCAACTCAGATAAGCAGAAGGCACTGGACAGATGGACGGATGGACTATGAGCTCCATGTTTCTGTGAGCCTAATAGATGGAATGATGAAATGACACCATGAGTGTCATTTCAGTTTTTTTCTGGCACTAGCATTTTCAGCAGGAAAAGTCCTAAAGTCGAGAATCAAACTCTGGACAACTCCATTGAAGACTAATATTCTTTATGTATGGGGCGGCCGCTCAACCTGAAAACAAAACCCCTGGAAGGTTTAATGAGTAAATGTGTCTTTGTTCTGTAAAATCCTTTAATCTCCAATGCAACCATTCAGCTGTGCGAAACGCCTGGATGGATCTAGCCCCGTCTACGAGGCACAGCTTCTCCTCAGAGCTGCAGCTTCAGCCTCACAGAGCAACCCTCCCTCACTCAGCTCCTTCAGACTAGACAACAGTAATTAGCAAGCACCTGACGGAGCTGTGCATCTGCTGAGCTCATTACAGGAGTTTCTTCTCAGTGAAATATTGGTAAAAACATTGCTAAAGGGTTAATTGAGGATTGATGTGGTGATGACTTCCTGAAGGAGGAGTTTTAGAAAAAATATGAATTTTAAAGAGACAGGCCCAGTTTCAAGGTGTTAAATTACAAAGTCAAGTTTTTTTTAAGTCATACTGGGTTTGGGGATCTTTCTCCATGGAGTTTGTTCTCTCTGGGTACTCCAGTTTCTTCTCAACACAACTGTTAGGTTAAGTGGTTACAGGTTCTTCCCTGCCTCTTACCTCCATGATTGCTGGTGAAATGCAGCAGCCTCCCACTGTGACCCTGCAGACACAAGCAGGTGTAAACAATGGATGGATGTTTTTTTCAAATGCTTGCTTGGAAAATGCTTTTCACTTCCAGCCGGCTCATGTCTAATCTTCATGCATTTGTTCCCCCTGCAGTGTCTTCTATCTTCACTGTACCAAATGTCAAGCTGCAGACAGAGAGCGGGGACAGCATACAGGTGTGCGCACGGAAGAACAGCCACGGAAAGGCATCATCTGGCAGCAAGCACTGACCTGTGGCAGCATCCTGCACATGACTGCCTGACGGGTATGTGCTCATTAGCATGGACACACGCACACACACATACAGAGGTCTGCTGCAACAAAACACACAAACGTAAACTACATCACCTCTGTGGTAAACCTGTATTTTGTACAAAAACTCAAAAAAAAGTGTTTGTACAGATTGAAATACTGCTCATTCAGAGGACCCACAGCTGTGTTTAGATTTTATTATTTATTTTGAAGGTAAGTTTCTTGGTAAATGGCACAGCAGAACTATAATAGTGAACAATGTCAGGTTTTTAAATGGTAAATGGACTGAACTTATATAGCGCTTTTCCAATCATTTTTGACCCCTCAAAGCACTTAACACTAGGGTCACACTCACCCATTCGCACTCACAAACGCTCACATTAATATACCGATACACAGATGGGTAGGCAATTTGGGGTCAAGTGCCTTGCCCAAGGGCACATCGACACGTGGCAGGAGGAAGCTGGAATCAAACCTACAACCTTCCGATCGCAAGACGACTACTCTACCCACACAGCCACAGTCACCCCATGCACATGCCATGTTTCTATTAAGCAATTTTTTTTTTGTTTTACCAGTTATGCACAATTATATAGTCAATGAAAACTCAGCTCCTGTCATTTTATCGGTGTTGTTCGTTACTTATATTAACTTTGCTCTCCATAGCTTTTTATTTGCAGTGTTGGTTGATAATGTGTAATTGATTCAAAAAGTCAACTTGACATTTCAACATTTAAAAAAGAAATGAGGTGTAACCTCCGTTAAACCTGATGTGTTTTAAAGCAGACAGTGATGCGGTGGGGCTCAGTCAGTCCTCTGCTCCCCTCTGGGCCCCAGCTGGGCCATCAGATCTGTGCTCTCTGCACTGAAGCTGTAAGGGAAGGCAGTAAGGGATGGAGGTTTGGGTCTGATGGGAAAGCAGGGAGCTCCATTCTTTTCAGATGGATCTTTCATTCACAGCTTGGATAAAGAGCTGCTATTTGCATGTAATACGGGGTGTGGAGGCCAGGCATGTGGGGGATAATGGACGGTCTAATAGCAGCACTGGGCGGAGGAGAAGATTATCTATATAATCACTGACAGGTGCAAAGCCACGTCAACTCTTCACTGCAGCTTCTGCAAAATATACCTCTATTCCACTGAGTATGCTTAAGTGTGTGTTCCCTGATGTGGAGGGTAATGGAGTTTCTGTGTGTTTGTGTGAAAGGTGGAAGTCACCCCACTGAGAGAGCCGTGTCCTCTCAGCTGCTGTATTTCCATTGAAATCAGCCTCTTTGTCCCGGCCTCATGCTAACGGGCCGGCAGGCCGATAGAGCAGCCGCCTAATCCCTCCACTCTCGTTTTCATCAACACACTGACAGATTACCCATACTCACAGCTGTACCAGACCAAAGCTCAAGCAGAAACTTTACTCTTCTTCTGATTGTTGAGTTCTTATAATATGCAAAATTAACAATTTTACCTTAAACAATGACTTAGGAATTGTTGAGCAATTGGTTTTAGATAATAAGTTAATATTAACTACATTAAAGACAAAACATTTAGTAATTGGCTCAAAGAAGTCTCTTAAATATGATCCAAAGTTAAATTTTTCAATAAATAACACACTTATCAAACAAGTAGCAGAAGCTAAGTTACCTGGGCTCTATTTGGATAACTAACTGTTTCGGTCAGGTGTAGTAATGTACACTCAGGTTTGGTTAAATTTGTAAAAACTTAGATGTTTTTCTGAGCCTGAATATTTTTAGATTATTTGGAAAAGACAGCCTCAGATAAACTTCAGTTGATGCAGAATAAAGCTGTCCATTTAGCATTAATTGTTCGTGCAGGACATTAGTAAATGCCATGCATTCAAATCTTGACTGCACCATGGTATGGTGTTAGCTTTACGGCTGTTCTCAACATGGAGCATTTTTAAATTTCAAAGTTAATGTTTATTTTTTGTTCAAGAACAGTGTAAGTTCACATGGCTGTGTCACCAGACATGCAGTTGAAGGACGTTTTCAAAGTCCTCAGGCAAAAATTAATTTTCCCAAACGCACCTTTACTTACTGAGCAACAAATCTCTCTACCATCAACTTTTACTAAAGCTGAACAGAAGTCAGCTTTTAAAAAGAAGTTGAAAGTTTTTAGGACTAACATTCTTAGAGCTCAACTGGTTAATTATTGTATATTTTATGAATTTATTAACATTTTGTATGAACTAGAATTAATTTGTATTGCTATGCATATTAAATCTGCCATATATTCGAATGATTTTTAATGTGTTTTTTTTTTTTTTTTGTTATTTAATGGACCCCAGAAAGCACACATTACAAACCCAAAGAACTGTAATAACTCTTCATCCCACTGAATGAGCTGAACCGGTTTTGTTTAGAGTCAATTATGTCCAACTGCTGTGTGTTTTCAATTGTGCTTTGAAAGCTGCGTCTTTCTGAGCTTCTGCCGACCATGGATGAAATAATAAGAGTATGTGTTGTATAAAAGGCAGCGGTCTGTTCCTGAAATTTCTCAGATAAAATCCCAAGTACTAATGGTGAGAAGACGGAGAAAATGGAGGCAGGGGTTTGTGGGAGCAGTGCAGGATTTATTTTTATTTTTTTATTATTGTTGTTGTTGAGGCAGTGTTGTATTATTTATACGAGGTGGTGGAGGCAAGCCGCTTCAGACGGAGCGAAGACGGCGAGAATCCCTCCACCCCTTTCTTTTGTGGGTCTTTTCCCAGTGGGCAGGCTTTGTGCTGGCTGGATGGCTGCCTTTGAGGAAACCTGGGCTTCTATTGAGCTGAGAGCGAGGGCCGGGCCCGGCCGGGCCGCACCGAGACACGGCACTACTACAGCAGCACAATGTCTGTCACCACTGTGGTCAGAGAGGAGGAGAAAAGGATGAAGGTGGTATGAAAGAGAATGGGGGGAGGGAGGCTAGTGGGAGTGTTTGATTTTGGCAGGGAGAGAAGAAAGAAAGAAGGTTTTTGTGGTTTAGAAAAAGACGAGCAGAAAGAGATAGGAGTGGACAGAAAAGGGAGGCGGGATGGAGAGGAGAGGAGAGGAAACGAAGAAAAGACAGGTCTCCTTTACAGTGATTCTCTGCATTCTTTTATGTTTATTCATGATTCTACATTATTCACAAGATTAGCTGATGCAACGTGGCTTTCAGGGTACGCAACAGCTCCCGCCACCAGTCCACTCCATGACCACACAGCCAGGGACGGCCGCCCTGTCACTGAGCCTCAGCACACTTCACCACAGAGGGCCTGGATGCAGCATTCACAGGCAGAACGCATGACAAAGCATGAAACCCGCTCAGACAGTCAGAGGTCTGCCAGCCCAAACAGCAGGCTAAGAGCTTTTATTTTGAAAGCAAAATGTGCCAATAAACCTGATTAGAGTTGTTAGAAAAATGAATATTTGTGTCCAGTGTTGGCTGCATTTCCGTTACAGATGTGTCCAAAACTTTGCTGATGTTCTGCTAAAGTCAAAAAAACACAATTTTGCAATTGCGGTGATTCTACTGAATAAGAAATGCATGAAACGGTGAATAGGTTTGTTTACTCAAGAAGTTATTAAAAGGGGGATATTATGTGCTTTCCAGTCTCACGGTGCTGTTCTATAGCACAGTCAAGTAACTGTTAACATAGGTTGTTATAAAAATGCTATATATGTATCAAATACAAATTACATTACAAATTTGACTTTTTAATTAAACATTAAAATTGGGCTTCTGTCTCTATAAAAACTCCTTTCTGAAACTCTACCTTATCACAACATGGCTCCTCTATTTTTACCACTGTTACACTGAGAACTAGCTCCTATGATGAGCTCAGCAGATGTTCAGTTCCACCAGGTGGTTGCTAATTGCTGCTGGCTAGTTTGTAGGAGGTGAGTGAGGGACTGACAGGGGAGGGCTGCTCTGTGAGGCTGAAACTCCAAAGCTTAGAAACTGCAACTCTGAGGAGGAGCCCAAACAGATGAGTCAGAGTTGTTGGACAAACACAACAAAACTGCAATTAATATGAATTTGTCTTTACTTCCTGTCACCCTCCTCATATTTTGCAGCAGTAGTAACATCTTCTTATCGGTCATGTGACTTATGTAATGCAGAAAAAGTGCACTTTTGCAAAATACACTAGAATCAATACAGCGGAAAACCAATCTTCTCCTAGCACAAAAACTTTTGATCAGAAAACGTGCTTTTCTCGAAATTGTTGTGTTGCCATCAAACAAGTTTATTTTCTTATTTCCAATTTCCACAATTTTAAGGTCAGTGGAAACACAGCTACAAACAACAAAGACAGGGCATGATGTTAACGCCTTATCAGTCACACTGATGTTACATGAGAACACCTCTGTCCTAATGACAGTTAAATTAAACTGACTTTTGCATTTTATGTCAACACTTACAACTCCATTGTGATGTTTAAAATGAGTTAATGTGAAGCAGAACATTGACTGCAGTCTTCAAGGATGCATTCAAAGCATATTTCATGTGTGACTGAAATTTCAGTTCACAAGGGTTCTTAGTCTTGTAGAAATTCCAGACATTTCCTGACTTAGCTTTGGTGCGTTCTCACTCCTTTAAATTTATTTTAAAATGGAATGGCTGTTGGCATGTACCTGGAAAATGGAAGAAAGAGGAAGGGAAGCAGGAAAAGGACACAGGGAATGGAGCAAGGAGAACATTCATGCAGCGATACTGAGAGCACGTTCAAGACTTGTTTAGGACAACTGAATTTCTTTATCAAACAGAATTGCACATTTCCACACCTGCAGTGCAGCTTGGGTTTATATTGGCTTGAAGACAATGTCCTGTGTGTGTGTGTGTGTGTGTGTGTGTGTGTGTGTGTGTGTGTGTGTGTGTGTGTGTGTGTGTGTGTTGTTCTGGTCACCTGGCCACGCTTCAAACAGAGCAGCAGCCTTTGTACAGAGAGTCGGTGCAGTCAGCCATCACAGGTCGCTGTCGGGACGCTCCGGCCCTGAAGCATCACTGTGTCGCTTTGAAGATAGCAGCTACAGG